GGAGGACTGAGATGTACCTGTAGTTTCTACAGACAGTTTTCTCTCCCTTTTTGAAGACAGGTACTGTAATACTCATGTTCCATTCTACTGGATGAACATTTGATAAACATGATACTGTCGTCATAATGGTTATCAAATGTTCGTTAAATTAACTCAAAAGATAGTTGAGTTCAAAAAATCTTAAAAACTTTGCGAAGTTTGCAAAATTGATGCATCAGCTTAATATTGTCAAGAATTTTGTAAATAAAACGTATACTAAGCACTATGCTCAATGACTTCAATGGTGTCTCCCAACGGATAGGTCTTAATATGAACATGGACAAAACATAGATCATGTCTAATGTCCATGTCACACCTATGCCGGTAGTTGTTGGGAGCACTATGCTCGAAGTTGTTGACGAATACGTTTACCTGGGACAAATAGTCCGACTAGGTAAGTCCAACTTCGACCGAGAGATCAATTGATGGATTCAACTCAACTGGGCCGCGTTCGGGAAATTACGACACATCTTCTCGTCAGGTATACCTCAATCTCTGAAAACTAAAGTGTACAACCAGTGCGTGTTGCCATTGATGACTTACGGATCTGAGACGTGGTCCTTCACTGCTGGCCATATGAGGACATGCAAGGTCGCTCAGCGAGCTATCTAGAGGGCTATGATCGGAGTTTCTCTGCGTGATAGACTCAGAAATGAGGATATACGCAGTAAAACCAAAGTGACCGACATAGCACAACGGATTAGTAAGCTGAAGTGGCAATGGGCCGGCCATATACCTCGAAAAACCAATAATCGATGGGGAAGAAAGGTTCTCGAGTGGCAGCCTCGTACCGGTAGGCGTAGTGTAGAGGGACCCCCCACTAGATGGAGTGACGACCTGGTAAGATATGCAGGAAGTCGATGGAGGCAGGTGGCTCAGGACCGTGCTTTGTGGCATTACTTGGGGGAGGCCTATGTTCAGCAGTGGACTTGTGAAGAGCTGTAATGATGATGATGATGATGATGATAAGACACTCACGCGCTTATACAGTACCCCTGAAAACACCTTATAGGCAGCGAGGAGGACTGAGATGCCCCTGTAGTTGCTACAGACAGTTTTCTCTCTCTTTTTGGAGACAGGTACTGTAATACCCATATTCCATTCTATTGGATGAACATTTGATACACATGATACTGTCGTCATCATGGTTATCCAATGTTCATTGAATTAACTCTAAAGATAGTTGAATTCAAAAAATCTTAAAAACTTTGCAATGTTTGCAAAATTGACGCATCAGCTTAATATTGTCAAGAATTTTGTAAATAAAACATATACACATCAGACTTGGCTGTGTGGCTTAAGGCATTTGCCTGCATTAATTGGCAAATCGTAACAACAACAATCAACTGTCAATTTGTCATAGTAACCGTCAAGCATGGAATGCACAGAGTACATTATTAACGTAGACAGAGAATGCAAAAAAATGATGTCCACCATCTTGGATTTAAAAATAAATTCCATTTTCGTTATCAGCACCCCAAGAAACCTCGAAATTGATACCCATATCATAATTATTAAAAAAATGTTAGCCATCTTGGATATGAAAATGGATGCCAGTTTCGTAATAAGCACCCCAAGAAACACCGAAATTGATATCCATATCGTATCATTAAAAAAATGTTCGCCATCTTGGATATGAAAATGAATGCCAGTTTCGTAATAAGCACCCCAAGAAACCCCGAAATTGATACCCATATCATATTATTAAAAAATTGTCCGCCATCTTGGATATGAAAATCGATGCCGGTTTCGTAATGAGCACTACAAGAACCTCGAAATTGATACTCATATCATATTATTAAAAAATGTCCGCCATCTTGGATATAAAATGGATGATAACATTTAAAAATAATAAAAATAAGCGCGCGCTAACCCTGGAAGTCGTGTCCCGAGCTACTAATACGATTGGCATAAGCAGATCGGGCTCTCCTTCCCGCGTCTCACCCCACACACCCCGCACGATTGCCCCGTCTAGACGTCTTAGTCGGACGACTGTATGGATTTATAGACTGTGTTATTACTTAATTCTTTTTTACTATCAGTACCTATCTAACAAAAAAAACGAAATAAATTCACCTTTCATATCATCATTCATCATCATTACAGCCCTTCACAAGTCCACTGCTGAACATAGGCCTCCCCCAAGTAATGCCACAAAGCACGGTCCTGAGCCACCTGCATCCATCGACTTCCTGCATGTCTTACCAGGTCGTCACTCCATCTAGTGGGGGGTCGCCCTACACTACGCCTACCGGTACGAGGCTGCCACTCGAGAACCTTTCTTCCCCATCGGTTATCGGTTCTTCGAGCTATATGGCCGGCCCATTGCCACTTCAGCTTACTAATCCGTTGGGCTATGTCGATCACTCTGGTTTTACTGCGGATATCCTCATTTCTGAGTCTATCACGCAGAGAAACTCCAAGCATAGCCCTCTCCATAGCTCGCTGAGCGACCTTAAGCGTCCTCATACGGCCAGCAGTGAAGGACCACGTCTCAGATCCGTAAGTCATCACTGGCAACACGCACTGGTTGTACAATCTAGTTTTTAGAGATTGAGGTATACCTGACGAAAAGATATGTCGTAATTTCCCGAACGCTGCCCAGCCGAGTTAAATCCGTCGATTGACCTCTCGGTCGAAGTTGGACTTACGTAGTCGGACTATTTGTCCCAGGTAAACGTACTCGTCAACAACTTCGAGCATAGTGCTCCCAACAACTACCGGCATAGGTGTGACATGGACATTAAACATGATCTTTGTTTTGTCCATGTTCATCTTAAGACCTATCCGTTGGGAGGCACTATTGAGGTCATTGAGCATAATGCTTAAGTCCTCCAGCGATTCTGCCATAATGACTATATCGTCGGCAAATCGAAGGTGAGTGATGTACTCGCCATTGATGTTAATACCGTATCCTTTCCAGTCCAGTAGCTTGAAAACGTCTTCCAACGCAGCGGTGAAGAGTTTCGGGGATATAACATCACCCTGTCTTACACCTCTCTGCAGTTGGATAGGTTTCGAACTCTGGTTCTGTACTCGGATAGCCATCGTAGCCCTACTGTACAAACACTTCAGCACTTCGATGTACCGACAGTCAACTTGGCACCGCTGAAGGGACTGTAGCACCGCCCAAATTTCGACGGAATCAAAGGCTTTCTCATAGTCCACATATGCCAGGCAAAGTGGCAGATTGTACTCTTCGGTCTTCTGTACAATCTGCCGCAGGGTATGTATGTGGCCTATGGTACTGAAGCCTTTTCGGAAACCGGCTTGTTCGGGAGGCTGGAAGTCGTCGAGTCTGCGTGCGAGACGATTCGTAATGACTCTCGAAAATAGCATGTAGACGCGGCTCAGAAGGGAAATCGGTCTGTAGTTCTTCAAGAGAGCGTTGTCGCCTTTCTTAAAGAACAAAACCACCGCGCTTCTGCTCCACGCCTCCGGAGTAGTGCCACCATGGAGGACGGAATTGAAGAGCTTCCGAAGGACTTCAAGTACCGGTTTTCCACCCGCTTTCAGAAGCTCCGCTGTAATTCCATCCTCGCCCGGGGCCTTGCCGTTTTTAAGGTGGTGGAGAGCCATTCTAATCTCGCTCAGACTGACGTCCGGGATATCATCGGAATAGTGTCGGATAAGACTTGCTCTTGGATCGTTACTCACACTTGCGTGTAGCTCCAACGATGATGTGTACAGCTGCCCATAGAACCTCTCAATCTCACTCAAAATCTCAGGTGTCCCGGAAACGATGTTACCACACTCAGTCTTCAGCTTTGACAGTTGGCTCTTTCTGGCAGACAGATCTCTGGCAAAGACTTTGGAGCCCTGGTTCCGCTCGATCGCTTCTTTAATACGAGAAGTATTAAAGTTGCGTAAGTCTCGCCGCATGCATATGCATGCACCTTTCATAACTTGCTTCTAAAATCCTTCGGTAATTTTAAAGAATGATATATCTGAAACCTTTTTTTGGGCATTTGGCATCCATCCACGCAACAATTATAGTAGGAGCGACGTTTTTCCATTTAAAAATTATCAAATGGGTAAAATAATATAAATAACACTAAACGAAGACTGTTTCAACAAGTATTTACAAAAAAACTAATTACGTAAACACCGTTAAAAAAAAGGTTTATCGACCAAGTTGGCGATATTTTGAAAATGGGCCACGTTAGAAGTACCCTTAACCGACGAGCATGTATGCGTAGATATATGGATGTAAAGGAGGCGAAAGAGGTATGTAAGGATCGTGCCAAATGGAAGTCCGTAGTCTCTGCCTACCCCTCTAGGTGACAGGCGTGAGTGTTTATGTTACCTTAAAAAACTCAAAACAAACATTCAATCGCCTACAACGCGCTAGCCCCGACTGCGTATGTTACCCTGGGTGCCTAGCGATTGTAGGTAATTATTTCACGCAGGTAGCAAGAGTGACAGAGGGCTGGTAACAGTTAGTTCAGTATCTTCTTTCTTCAATATTAAAACACAACCTACATAAATACAGCCCACTAAGCTCTCATTCATTACACAATAGTTTCTTTAAGTTTATTAGTCAGACAGATATCACAATTTTTTAGTTTCTTCTTTCTTCACCACAGTAAATTATAATAAATAATTAGTCAAATACAGTCCACTTAGCTCTCCATCAACTACAATACATATCAATGATAATCGTTAATAGCAGTGTTCCATTTCAGGCTTACTTCACGTACTAATTTCTAATTTTATAGCTAGTTGTGGGGTAAATTTTTCCATACACTTGTAACCCTAAATATAGTGACGTATTTTCTTTTGTCCCTTTCTGCGACACGCTATGGCGGAGTCTATAGGATTCTCTGTCTACGATTATTAATATACCTGGAAATGGAGTGTCAAATGTCAATTTAACTGTCCTAGTCAGTCACGTTGTTTTGTTGTCAAAACGATATTAAAATAATATTGATTATTTTGTTGAATATCATATTATATTTCAAATGGCACAAGGAAAATTAAAAGTAAAAAGTAAATTGCCCTCCGGTGCAAAAGTAAAGAAGAACAAAGGAAAGGCCGTAACAAAACGAAGCAATGCTCCTGTTCCTAGTAAAAATAACGCTGTTGATCGCAATAAAATGAAGGCGAAAGTGACGAAGATGGTAAATGCAGTGGCTGAGCAGCAACTCCGTGCACTAGCAACCGAGATGCCGCAATTATCAGCAGCCCAACAAAGAGTGGCAACGGCACCTACTGCTCCAACACCCGCCAAATAATATAACCTATAATATGAAGTGTTAGTTGTTGACTGTGTGACCAAAAGCTATTAAGTTTAAGAATTGTGCATAAATATAATATAAGCTGTATAAGTTGTGAGTTGCAAATTTTTTTTAATAAATTCGTTATAATAATAGTATTTTTCTTCGAATCTTTATTTTGTATTTTAAAAATTCTGTTATCTTGATGGTTATGAATATTATTTAATGATTTTCGCTATTTATTTTAACCTATATTATACATTAACTTGAAACTTTGTAGGTATATTGTCGATACAATAATTTCATGACATGCGCTAGTTAAAATTATCAGCTTTTGATTAAAGACAAAAATATCTTATAATTAATATATTATGCTAAAATATATGAAGAACTAATTCTGTATAAAACCAAAGTAGAGTGGTTAAGTAAGTGTCAATCTTACCATTCTTTGTCAATTTTGTAAATATTATGATTTCAAATAACTGTTTGTATCTATATTTATTATATTTTGATTAGGGTATTTTCATAGGACAGTGTTTTTTACCAATTCTCTAGTAGTCATATCACATAAGTTTTAAATGGAATCAGGAGCAAAACTGCCTCCTTTTAGAATTTGCAAATCTTTGTTGAATATTAGGTACAGCAAATTATATTTTATTAAGTTAGTACAACAAATATTCATATAATAAACAGAACTTTTAAATACACTTAACTTATTAAATGTAACCCATAATCCACAGGTTTATTGTCATAATTGTGTTCTTCAATTCATTTCATTAATAAACTCAATAAACTACTTTTCTATATATCTGCAGTACAACTAGACTAATTGACAAAGCATATCAGATCATTAAACTGAGGTGGTTAATGAACCGACCATGATGCTTGAGGAACTGAAAACCAAAGGGGAAGAAGGGTCCTTAGGTGGCAGCCTTGTACCAGTAGATGAGTGTAGGGCGGCCCTCCACTATATTGAGTAATTACTTATCAAAACATGTAGGAACTTGATGAATGCAGGAGGCTCAGGACCATGTTTTGTGGCATTCCTTGTGGTAATAATAACTATTTGCATAATTAGCATATAACTATTTTTATATTATATTTATTTTTCCATTTTTACTAGTTATAACATCTTTGTAAAAAAAAAAGGTCTAATTTAGTAAGCTTACCTTTAATAATGAAACTTATAACACCAAAAAAGAAGTTAGAATACAGATGCTATCAAAAAGTGTAAAGTTTCATTTCCATCCAATAATTTATAAGCATTGATTAAAACTACTTTTAGGGATTATATAATATGTGTAGTATTCACGTAAATATAAGAAATCATAATTTATAAGCATGTTATAAAAGTTGTCTTTAAATAATTTTATCATGCATAATAATATCCATTACTCTATCTCATCCCAGAGATGTCATAAGAGGTGACAAATACCAGCGTAAAATAGCAGCTTAATACTGCTTTTACATATGGTGAGTGCAGAGATCTAGAGACCCTTCTATACTGAAAATGAGGCATTCCATTGTAGTCCTCAGGGGTGACAACACATCTACATTTTGATCCCTAATTGAGCGTAAATCTAGATGTTTATGGGCCACAGCATCCACTTACCATCAGGTGGACTGTGTGCTCATTTGCCACTCTTAATCTATAAAAAAAACAATGAGAAATTCCCAGATCTTGTGTCATTCAATGGATTGCGGTACAAACCTTTCGTATTTGTATCACAGCTCATCACCAGTAACGGTTGAACGGTCAGACTTATTAGTAATAATTATAACAACTGGACTACAAGATTCTTGATTCCTTGTAGATGTAGATCAACATTGCAGCAGTAAGAAAGTTGCACCATGAATGGGTAGCTAGTTCGGGATAGAACTACCTATGCTCTCCCAGAATTATCAGCGTAAAACATAGAGCATCACAGGCCACCAGTGCGGCTTGTGGGCGCGGCGGACTGAGAGAAGAGGCATTTTTTCTTGAAACAAATCTGTCTGCACGCAAAAACAATTGTCAGTATAATAAACTAATAATTTCACACTTACATAGAAACAGTAAAATAGGATTGCTCGGTGACAGCGACTACTTGCTCGACCAATGTGCATATTGTGTGAAGCGAGCAGCCTGTGTTCGTAAGCAAATCCAAAACAACACAACCGTTATTATTATCATTTTTAAATTTAAAAAGGTGTATTTAGCAGTAATGGGATTAAAAATTACTTATTTATCACAGGTAACGCCATCTTTTTTATAAATTTGACATAAGAGATATAAAGAAGTATCAAAAAACGAAACAATTCGGCATTTTTTAGGATGTCAGTTCAGCCGCGCAACTAGCTTTAGTCTAGTGGGCAGCGCAACCAATTTTAATGTACTCATAGGATCACATTTTTAATAGGATCCCTATCCTATGTGACAAACAAGCGCACAGTCCTCCTGATGGTAAGTGGATGCTGTGGCCCATAGACATCTGCATTTAACCTGGATTAAGAATCAAAATTCAGTTGCATTGTCGTCACCCTTGAGGACTAAGATGGAATGAATCATTAAGCGACAGTAGCCTAATGGCAGGGCGCGGACCGCGAACTCAAAAAGGTCGTGGGTTCGAATCCACCATTCAACTACTGGCGTGAACCACTCGTAACACAAGCAATTTAAGCTTACCACGAGTGGTTAAAGGGAATATTAGTAATGTTTATAGCATTGTTAATATTCTTTTAAAAAAAATGCCTCGATTCCAGTAAAACGGGTCTGGTGCTCTACACTCACCATACGAAATACAACAGCATTATGCTACTATTTTACACTGGTATTCTGTGAGAGTGTGGTCCGCCCCGGTCGAGCCGACCCATTCGTGCTACAACTATACTACTAATATAACTGCAGCATGGCTCTACCACGTACAAAAGAAAGCATTAAGCTGCACAGTATTCTGTGAGAGCGTGGTCCTTCCCCGGTCGAGCCGACCCATTCATGATACATGATATAGTTGCAGCAAGGCTCTATATATGCTTTGACAGAGGGACAGCGCCTGCATACGGCTACTCTCCTCGGTACTTCCTGGTGTTCCGTGTTGCTCCTTGGCACAGCCTAAGATTAACATATAGTTAGATTGTGTCTATGGTGTAAAGTAGCAGCATAATATCGTTGTTTTTATATGGACGCAACACACAAAATTTGATACAATGGGCGTTATTATTGCTAAACGCGAAGGGTATCTTTGTTTATATCGTTTGGATCCGCTTTAACAGGAATATATCGCCCATTAGTTTTTTTTTTTTTCATATAAACGTAACTTTTCCTGCATCTTGGAGAATTTTTAGCCAACGGAAAACCAACAAGAGGAGGTGCACAATTGAATTTAATATGTTTTTTGTATGTACGTTACGCGATATCTTCGCAAATTGAGACCTAACTTTGAAGATTTATTGTTATTAACCTATTTTATTAAATAGTTTATGCTTCAGGGATGGTTCCATATAGGAGAAAAATTCCACCCTTAAGGGTGGCAAAAATAACTTCTCTTTAGTTCTTTGATGTCGGCTTCTACTTTTTGTAAAAAGTTAACAAATATTTATTATTAGTGCACAAAAACACTTGTTACGTCCGGGACTCAAAACCCTCGGCCTCGTAGCCCCGCACTCGAAAGCTTAGCTCCTGCGATACCAGTTTTTTAATAAATAAGTTCTTTAGCGGTAGACATTTTGAGAAAATAAGCCATCCCCGAGCGTAGAAAAATAAAAGATGTAGTTTTTAACGTTACTATTTAGACGACATTCTAGTCTAGAGCTTAAAGAGTTAGCGAGTTTAAAGAATGAAATAATTTTACTATGTTTTTCATACAAGAAGGAAAACGCACATGCGGGTGGCCTGATGGTAAATGACGCCTCCGTGGCGCAGTGACTCAGTAGTAGTCCCGCACGGAACAAGTAGTTGTATGGCCTGCAAGTAATTGTTCCGGGTCTGGATGTTTGTCCTTGTGAAATTTATGTTTGTAAACTGCCACCACGATACAGGAGAAAATCCTAGTGTGGAGGTAACGTTTTTCTCAAAAGAAAAATAGAAGAAGCTGCCGTTTGCGCAGCCACAATAACGCGACTTCATAATCATCATCATCGTCATTAAACCCCATCACAAGTCCACTGCTGAACTTACGATAACCATTAGGAATGCCCCTGAGTCAGTCAGTGACAAGTCATCGCTCCACCTAGTGGGCAAGTACCTTTTTTTTACATGGGGAAATGCCTACGCATGCCCGCCTCGTGGGGGCAAGGACGGGTTATGCCGGACTCGCACCATATAAAAACCAACGGTATTCCACCTTAGTCGCATATTGTCAGGGCCACGGGAACGCGTTCGCACACATCCGCGGCCGTTCCAGCGCTAACCTGCCCATGACGGCCTCTCGGGAGAGGACTAGTCCTCCCCCATCTCCTTAGGTAAGGCGCACCAGAACACATGGCGCGTCATCCTCAGCGGCCTACTTCGCGCAACAGAAGCCCCCGTGTCCGATGCGTGATGTTCACGGGACCTGGGAAAACGAGCACTCAGAAGCACTAGCCTTCCCGACCACAGCGGCGGATCTCGGCTATGGCTCCGTCACCAACCAAGATTCGTAGGGAGAGCGGCGCCTCGTAATACCGACACTCCCGATCTCGGCTCTTCCCCCGCATTCCCTCCACCACCGCATTAATTAACGGTGCGGCCCCGTCAGAGTCGCGGCGAATAGGGTGAGTGACACATACCAACACTCCTCTTTCTCCGCGACTCCACCTCGACTGCGGTGTGGGGAGAGGGCACCCCTCTCGCTGCAACCCACCAACACACATCCGAGGTGGGCTCCAAGCCCACTCGGGGTGGCCTCCTCGGGCCGGCCCTACACCTCGGGTCAGCCAAGTAAATTCCTCTTATTTCACCGTGGGTTACCAAGCCATGGCTACTAACCCCGACAAGGCGAGAACCCGTTCGCGGGGTGGGGGGTGGGGGAGTTCCTACACTACGGTACGCTTACCGGTAC